TGAGCCGGCGGCGGGGGCGAAGACCCTGCCCGGCCGCCGCGTTACTACCGGCCCTGCGCCTTTAAGAGGGGGCTGGGCTCCCGGTGACCCCGCGTGATGTCCGCCTCTTCCTGGTTGCCATAGACACCGCCTTCCAGCGTCCCAAAATGGCGTCCCTGCTGCGGGAGGAGGTGTTCGAGAGGCGCGGGCAGGCCCCGGCCCCCAGCAAGGACTTCTGCCAGCTGCTCGTCACCCGGCGGGAGGTGGGTGCCGGGCTGCCCGCGGGCGGGGAGCGGCGTCCGCCCCCCAGTTCTCTTCCCCTCGCCTCATGGTCGCCGCTTCTGCCTCCGCCCGGGAAGGAAGGCGGCCGGGGCCTGCCCCCCGCACCTGAGGCAGCAGCGGCTTTAGCGAGGGCCCGTCCTTGGGGACGGGCTGGTGAAGAACAGAGGGGCTGGCAGCGCCGTGCCGGGGGAGGGCGGGGGTCACCTGTTAGCGCCGCCAGGCAGCGACCCGGGGGGCGCCACCGGTAAGTGCTGCTGGCTTGGCCTCCTGAGGGCTGGGCGCGCCTTGCTGCAGCCTTGGGATGTGGTGTCGGTAAGTAGCTGGGGAGCAGGTAAGGGTTTGCCACCAAAAAGGGTTATTTCCCAGCACAGATGAAAGTGTGTCTGGACGAGGAGCCTCTGTGTGTGGGAGATTCATTCTACCCAGAGTATCCCAAGCCTGTAGGAAGGGGCTCTGGGTGAGGACCAGAGGAGGGGAAGGGGAAAAATGATCCTTCAAAATTTAGTAGCCGTGGGGAAAAAATATATACGCATCTCTGATTTTGTAACCTTAAAACAAACTTAAGTTTACTCCCAGAAATGCCTCACAAATAAATGAGATACTAAGATTTGAAGTAAACAAATAACAAATCCTTAAGTAACGTCACAGTATTTGTCTTAAGGAAAGACAAGTTTAGCTGTGCTAAACTGCAGAGTAACTAGACTTAAAGTGGGGGGAAACAATAATCTAACATCTCATTCCAGGAAAATAAAATTAAACTGCCCATCTGGGAATGGGAAGACTGTGTATATTTTCCATATGGTACCTGCAGATGTTTAGGTGTCCTGCCTTATGGCTGTGTACATAACTGGTTTTCTGATCAGGGAAATAAGCAATGCTAAACGACCTGGAAGAGATTTTTTTGAACTTTTTTTGAAATATGCTGCAAAATCTGCTATATGAACGTTTTTCAGAATAATCTAATAGTACTCATCAATGAGGAATATTTGACAGTAAACGAATGAGATTTAACAAATCTGATTATGAGTTTGTAAGGTTATGAAATAAAAATGCAAATCTTCTATAATTTTTCTTTCATTTTGACCTATTTTTGACTAGGTTGACTTTGTATGTACAAGAGATGAACATAGATGCTTGTCTCAGGCTGGACATACTGATTTATAAGTTGCGAAGTTTCAAAAATTTTTCAGAGAACATTTTTAAAATGTCTCACTGGAAAAAACCCAACATATTTTGAAACTAGGAGGAAGTTTTTGTTTTGTGTTCCCGAAGTAAACCATAATAGTGAACATGTTTTCTTCTAGGGATAAGGGAATTGTCAGGTTTGTAATTGAGAAATTAGAGGGAGAGGGAGGTGACAGTCTGAAGTTCAGCTGAAATTCCAAATGATCTGTCGTCTGTATATTATATGCTCATTCTTTCAGTCTCTCTGGTGCCAAGATTTTCCTTTTAAATCACCAGTGTCTTTAGCAGTTTCGGAAGGGGTTCTGGTTTTGTTCTCCTCAAAAAAAAATGTTTAAGGTAGAACTGACAAGGCAACCTTAGGGAGCTTTGAGTTCCACCAAAATTGAGAGTAATTATGGTGCTCCACAATAGCTGGGAAATACGTGCTTTTCTGTCGTGTAATGGGCCTGTCCCATTGACCTCATGGGAATCATATCAGTGCCGCGCTTGTTCATGGAATATGTAATTGACTGTTATGGGTTTTTTACCATTCATTTTTGCACTCCGATAATAAAAATAAGATGTTCCTTAGTTCTATTATTGTCTTCAGTTTTTTTGGTTTTCATATCGGTTTCCTGTCAAACACTTCAGATACCTATTGTGGTTTGGTTTTCAGCTGCTCAAATATATCCTAAAAACAAACCAAAGTCAGTTAACATAAACTGTGCAAAAAGCTTTGTAACTGTCAGTGGAAGTAAGTTAAAATTATTCTGTAAATGTTTATTATACAAAAGCATTACCAGGAAGTTAGTGTCAGTGAAAAAGAACTGGTTTGGATTATTTGAAAAACTTCTTTTTGATTTTATGATGGTAAGATCATTTGAGTATGATGCAGTGAACATATGTATTTGAATACGTCACTGTATCCTCTGCAGCTGATGTATCTGATTCCAGCAAAACTTCCCAATTCAATCACATTTGAATTCGCTATTGTTGAAAACAACTAACTTCACATAAGTAATCTCTGCAGTTTTAACTGCTGTACACGTAAAACTTCTGGATGCTAGTTAGCCTTTCTGGAGGCTACAGAGTCTCCTGAGAAGAGATTTGTGTCAAAAATAGTAATTGTTGGTATACGCATCACCGATGTGCCAAGTTACGTATCATGTAAAATGTATTTAGCCATACTGTGTTGGCATCTGGGAGGCCTAGTTGTTGGTTCACATTCCCAGAATGCTATTGGGCAGTCTCCTAATAAATAATAGTCATTGCCTGAAAGACCTTACAGTCTAAGCCTCCAACCTTGCGCATAGTTACATGAATGCTGAAATTTGCTACTTTGAATAGTCCCATTCTTCGATGTCAATGGTTTCAAAACAGTCCATTGTTTTTCTTTAAAAACAAAAAGGGAGTTTGTGGCTGCATGGTGGATTTGTATGAAGGCTCCCATATTTCTGTGAGTGTTGCCCTACTTTGAATGGTCTACTTGGGCTTTACACGAGAACTAAATTCAACTCCTTCAGGATGAAATTATTGATTTACTGAGCATGTCTTATACAGCTCCAGAGTGCATGTACCTCTGGTCATGACCAGGATTTCCAGGTATCGGCTGACTATCAAGTCAAACTGTCATAGAACCAGAAATCCTGTACAAATACAGAAGGTCTTAAGAATGTGTTAGGGCAAAAAATTTAGCTGGACAAGGAGGCCATATCTGCGGAGAAAAGCAAGTCCATGGCAGCAGGCTTTGTGTTCAAACAAGCCATGTGAAATGTCTGTGGCTTTTGTTTAGCTTTTTCCCTCATTCTAGGGAACTGACGTCTCTCTTCTGTCATGCAGCCTGATATGTTAGGGGATGTTCTCCAGAAGTCATTTTTGAAGTCTGCTACTGCCTCAAGATAAGTACAGGAGGCCCAAACTATTGTATATTGTATAACTAAAAATAAATGAACTGGAATTGCTGTAAATTAAAAAAAAAAAAAAGTCTCTGAGAGCAGTTAAGCATACATTAAGAAGTTTGCTGAAGCTAAGTATAGCACAATAGTCAAATAAAGAGGACAAGACTGACAAAGAGAGTACCTACGGTGTGATACCACAGGGGCACACATCCCCAGCTTTAAGCATATGAATAATTTTATTACTGCAAAAATAAATTGGAAACCATTTATTTATTACTTTCAATATTGTCAGTTGTAATAATAGCAAGGTGTACTTCAGCATGCTTGTTTGTGTTGTACCCAAATCTAGAGAAACTAGGACACCTGGAAAAAGGAAATCAAGGCCTGCTGTGGGCAAACAAGATACTGGAAGCAGACAAAAGCAGAGGCTACTTTGAACTCTTCTAACCAATCAAAGGCAGCAGTAGTTGAAAAAAAAAATAGCTAGAAATACACCCACTTGTCTGTGTGGATGTATTTGTGTCCAAAATGTGACAAGGAGACCCTGATGGTAACTTTTTGTTTTGCAGCAAGAGACAGCTTCCATCCCAGATACAAATTCAATTTCAATTACATTTCAAAATTAGAGCCATTAATCAGGACTTTATAAACAAAGGTATTGACTACTCAGTGGCAAGTATGCCCTTCCATTGAGAAGTTAGGAAAGGAAGATTAGCAACCAGTTCCTCCTTGAAGTAGCTTATGCAGAAAGCATAAGGAGAAGGGGGAAGCCTTGTAACTCATTGCAAATAACTCTTCTAAAAGTAGACTCTATAGAGGTACAGATGCATAAGTGAGTATTCATGGAATACAGTTCAACCAGTTGGATTGCATAGAAGGAGAGATCTTTTGAACCATCAGTGAATTTTTTCTCAAGTAGCTATTTTAAGGCTGCAATCATAACTTCACAAATGCAGGGGAACTATCCCACATATTTCCCCTGTGTGGGCATCTACCAGTCCCGTTGCAGAAATATAAGACTGAAAGAGACTTCTTCAGGTCATTAAGTCCTAGTCCCTGCTGTTTGATCCAGCCACATAATAGATCTTCATAGCATAAATGGGACTTGATGTGTTTCAAAGGTAGTGAGGCTTTTTTTGCCTTGCTACTTCACACAGAACAACTGCTCCAGATCATCACTTCTCTGATGGTTAGAAATGCAGTTATACAGACTAATTTACAGCTTATTTTGTGTGTGGATGTCTTTTAGCTTGAATACTGCCCTTGGGTGTAGCTATCAATGTTATATATGTGTGTATATGTGTGCGTGTGTATAAAAAATGTTATGTATATTTAATAAATATGCTCTCTTGATAGGGTTTGTTTTGTTTTTTCAGTCTCCACTTGTGAAACAGACTCTACTTCCTGGTCACTTTAGTATCTTTTCGCTGCGTTTCTTCCCATTGGAGCTTTTGTTCTTAATAACAATAAGTCTTACAACTGCCATGTGCAAAGGCATTGCTACTTCCCTGTGTCTTCTGGAAAATTCTATGTGATTTAAATTTTAGGATTGTATTTAACTTTCTCTACCAAAATCACATTAGTGACTCTTGAGCATCCTTTGAACGTTATTATTCCAATGTCTTTCTCCTCCTCTGTCAACTTTCAATTTATAACCTTTTGGTTTATGGCAGAAATTATTTCTAAATGAATGACTTTGCCATTTGTACTTTTCAATTTCTTTTTTTTTTTTTTATCCCCCCCCTCCAGGAATGCTTTGAGTTGTTATGGAGGCGAAGTTGTTGTACACATCAGGATAAACATACTAAATAGAAAAACATGCTTGGCCATAAAGTGTGGACTAGCAATCCTGCTGGAATTCATGGGAACAGTGGATAGTTTTTGTTTTGTGCGAGTGCATGTAACATTAAATAGAATGG